TTTCATTGTGAGGAGACTTCGGGCCGTAGCACCGCGGTGTACAATGTGCGCGTTTCGATTGAACCGATGCGAAATAGTAAAACTACATTTTCGGTGTTTTGTGTTCTTTTTCCCTTTGCTTGCATTTCTTTTTGGTTGTCTTTTTGTTCCATTCAATTATATTCCATCTCAGATGCGATGCTATGCTTTTTTGTTTGTTATTCAGAGATTAACATACAATGCTCACACAGAATATGCATTAAAATCCCTTTAAATCGGATCTCGCCGAAAAAAATAACAACAACAAGAGATACAATAAAAAAAGCGCACACGAGACGATAACGACGACTTTTTCTAAGGCACACACATCGTGCATACGATGACTATTCGATTTTAACCGAATCAGACGCTCACACACTGAAGAACGATCGCTCGCCTTACAGCGGCCAAAGTACTTTGAAGTTTTACTCACATAACGTGCTTTTTATTTTTTAATCACACAGAGAACAATTCTCCATGCCGTTGCTCTTGAGATCCACTTCAGATTTTGTTTGTAAACAGTCACAACTTTCAACCGATCAGAACAAAAGTCGTTTCAAATGTGTGAATGAATAAAAAACAGGCAGTGATCATCATGCTTTCATTGTTCTTTAAAATCGTATTTTTGACAACTGCTAAAAAATCACTTACTATGTTCACATTTGCTTAAGTTATGTCGAAAATCGAATAATTAAAGAGTCGAAAATTCAACAATTCTTTTTCGATTTTCAATGAATCCAAAAAATATATATAAAAAAATTAAATAATTTTTGAACCCAAATGACAAAAACGGAGTCGATTTCATGTTACAATGGCGCTTTCGTTTTCCACACAGAAAAGTTCTGTTATTTTTAAAGTGACAATTTGAAGTTCAATTTCTTTTCACTTTTGCGCACAACACTTGTATTACCCAATTTTAATTAAGATTCTTGGCTATTTTTAAACGGTAAACAATATTATTGACTTTGTAGCTTAACATTAAAATGGAATATTTCATGTGACCGCAAATATAAGTTGTGGAAGTGTTTTTTTAAAAACGCTTGAATAGGTATTTAACTATAAATAAATATGCACTAAGCGAGTTCAATTTTTTATTTTCTACATTTTTACATTGTGTAGGTTAACATTTGACGATTGACACGAGAATAAGAACGTGCCTCTTTTTTCCCATTATAATTGGCAGTTTTTACATTTTACTGCAGTCCATAAAATAAAAGTGATTGAACCATTCGACAAATATTTTGTCAAATCAATTTTACAACTAATAATTTTTAATGTTGTTTTTGCAATGATCGTGATTGGTTGGTGAAGTATTAATCGAACATTGTATTTTTTCATGCATACTTGCTTCTAACTTTCCGATTATTCATTGGATTTTTTTCAGCTGAATTTATCGTCATTTTTATTACTCAAATATCTTTAATTTGTTGTGCAATGCGTAATTGGCACGATATCAAATGAATATCAATTGATCACAATTTTACGATAATTTTCGAACGTACTATTAATACGCATCGATCGACGATCGGTTATTTTGCCGACAAAACCCCTCCCACACTTGGTCAGAATTTACAAAAAAAAATAGTTTCGGATGAAGTGATGACGTGCTATCAAATTCATTAAAAAAATTTCAACTAATTAATAATTCCATTTTTACTACAAACCAATATACAGTAAAACCGACCGAATGGTCATATGATTTTAAACTCGTTTCTACTTTCAAGTGATTTCCACAAATGTGAGTTCATTTTGTGTGCCAAAGTCAAAGTTCGTCCATTGCTGAGTGAGAAATCCTATTACGCGAACTTACTGTAGTTTATGTTTACCACTGTATCCTACGAATAAATAATTATAGCTATTAATTGAGCTTTGTTAATTCCTTGTCGCTGATAATAAATGTATTAAATACCTTTTTAAAGAGTCAAATAACAAACAACCGAGAGAGTAATCTTTGCTCTCAGGAAAGCTCGTTGATTGATTTGAAAATCAAATTGATACTTGTTTCGAAAACGTGTTTCAAATACTTACTTGTTATTAATAATGAATTGATATTTTTTTAACTATCTCTAATTTGCATGAATTGTTAACATTTGAAATTGTAATTCCATGATTTAAGCTATTGGTTCATAGATTTACGATTGATTACATTTTAATTGTCCTGCTAATGAAAAGATTCAAGTGATTATTTATTGATTTAAGACTATGATGAAGAATGGAAACGAATAATAAGTGAATATTATAACAATATTAGTGTTTAATAAAATAACGATATTTGATTTAAATATGTTCAAAGTTCAAATAATGACAAAATATACGCAAATAGTTTATTTTAATTCTGCAATTGTATGTATTTACATTAAAAAGAATTCATTGATTTACTGAATTCACTAAACAAGCTCGATTTATGATACTTTTTAATTGCAACGGCAAACATTTTTATTATCACAGTAACTAGAATTTCCATATTCATATTCTCGGCACGCAAGTGTACATGATTTCAAGAAATCTTGAAGAAAACATACATTGATCGTGCAGCAGGTTGTCGCTAATAGAAAAAATATAGAAAATTATTTGAAAAAAAAAATCGAGAAGAATTATTCTCACCAGTAAACATGCTCATGCTCAGCGTATCAGAATTTATTTTTCAAAATTCCTGCTGGATGTAGAAAAGGGGTCCAAAATAAAACATTTAGCATCACACATTTTTCTCCAAATTAATATGGGGCCTATATACGGACCTTTGAAGTCTAAAATACCCCATTTTTTGTTCTTATAGTGACCCTCCATGATCCCTTCTTGGGGTATAAAAATGTCCCTAAATACATATCAATTTTTTTGACCCGATTTTGGGGGAGTATTGGGGTACATGATGTATGGAAAGCTAAACGTAATTTTTCACGAGGAATCCGAATATGGGGTTATTTTAGGGGTGGTGGTATTTTGGACCTTATTTTGGTAATTTTCTTCTTTCGGACCTATGCCCTCCGAAATGTGGTCTAAAATTCCCCGCTATTGGCTCGCTATAGTGCCATTATATATATCATTTTGCGACTTATAAAACTATTTTTTTGAAATAATCTATTTACTCTCCGGGAGTAATCTATTTTTAGTAGTAATCTTCTATTAGTAAATAGATTACTCCCGGAGAGTAAATAAATTACTTTGAACTTGATTTCTTTAAGTTCAAATAGTTTCTATTACGTACATAGATTCTGGACTTGGTAATTTGGGAAAATCTGAAGGGGGTATTTTGAAAGTTCATTCTATCCAGTGTAAATTTGATTTTAAATCTTTTCATGTTGTCATTCCTAGGGGGCGGGGGTATCTCAGTGAATCTGGCTCGAAAATCCCTATCAAATCGAAAGATTTTCCTCTCGTTGCCCAAAACCCTAGCAAATTAAAAGAATTCTTTGAAAAATTCGTAGGGGGTAACACTTCGTCAGGAGGGGGTATTTTGTACCCTGGACCCCCTGGTCAGAATCTCTGATTATGTACCGAAATAGTTCAATGCACAATTTATTTGTTTTATTAAACTATAGTAATGATGCAGTTACATCAGTCATTACATTGGGCTAATACGTACAAATAGGATATCTTAGCCCAATGTATTAAAGAAATAATAAAGAAATTGGACCAGAACTAATAAGTTTAGTGAAGTGTGTATTTATTTCAAACACATGCCTTGATTTATTGAAGGAAAAGCCTGTTTCATAATAGCTCTTAACTTTACTCAATTATAAATGGTATTTGTGTTATAATTGGAGACATTCCAGCAACGGCACACATTTTTTTCATCACAAAAGCCCGAATTTCCGTACTTATAAAATCTGCATGAAAGTGTGCACAAGTTAGAATCTAACTTCTTCATCTTACAAAGTAGATGGGGTACAGGCTGTCCGCTTCCTAATATACCGTCATCCTTTGCACCTAAATCAATTGTCATAAATTTAATTGAATTTGATAATGGTGTCGTAGCAATGTCGCTAAAAATATTGGAAATTATACAAAATTAAATATAGAAGTGATATTTTGAATCAAACGAAATTGAATGAATAAATAAAATGATCGATCAATTGGCACTCACTCAGTGTTTCTCTTAAAAACTTCCAACGGAACGCCACTTCCAAAGCTTGCCCAAGTCAAAATATAAATGGCAAATAATAGTTTAAAATCCATTTCGTTAGCGTAACTGTATAATCGTCTGAAATTCGATTGAAGTTGTGGTTTTGAACTGGATATATAACTGAACATACAACGATCACGATTTCAGCTTAAATAGTTAAGATTACGTATCGAATAATTCCAAAGAAGAAAAATAATATAAAATTCTTTTCAAAAAATGTTAGAAGGAAGTATAAAAGAGCCCAATCAAGTGGTTTACATAATTAGTACTGTCTTAAAACAACAATAAAAATTGTTTGTTTATTTGGCTAAAGTGACATTCTTCAACGATTACAATATTTCTGAACATTCCTTATCAGTATTCATTTTCAATTGTTCACCGTTTCTTTTAAATGATTCACATATAATTTTCGCAGAATTTTCGATTATATTACATTCAAAGCAGTAAACACATTTCAAGCAAACAATAATGACGTGTAGTAAAATGCAACTGGAACTTAACCTCGCGTAGAATGCGGTTTTTTTTTCAAATTCATTTTCAATATTAATACAAAAAGGGTCATAAAATGTAGAAGAAGGAATTTGCACTAGACTATGTGTATAATTACAAAGCTCAAGCGTACAAAGAATTTCGAACCTGTTTCATGTTATGCAATTATAAGGTAACGTGAGAGAATCAAGAGGAAAGTTGCAAAAACGTTTTCCGTGTTTTTGTTTTGTCACAAAATGCCCATTTACAAATCGAAATGTGCTCTGCAATTGAACATTATTGAAGTAAGAAAATGCAACAAATGCTCTAGGCATTTATTTGAAGACATCATAAATTATACAATTTCAATGTTGCAGATAAAGTTGTCCATGACGTGTTTATTATTATATTAATAAGTGCAGTGAAATAACAAATTGAAGAAAAATTGTATAAATGAAACCCTTTACCCTCTTAGAATTATGTACCATTGATCGATGTTATAAGCCAGGTCCAAACATGTTTTACATTATATTGGTTTATATTTGATTGTTAGCATTCGATCTGAAAATTGAATTGATCACAATGACTATAGTCATAATAGCAAAAATTGACTCTTAAATTCGGAATTTATTTCAGAAACACTTACCGATCATTGATTTACGGATTTCACCTGACGTTCTCTGCATTGGCAAACGTGATTGTGTCCACATTTACCCCTCGTATGACCTTCTGCTTTGCATCTTTTTTTACATTTGTTGGAGGCGGCCTTTTTCCCCTTTTTACTTTTCCATTGACAAAGTTCATCATCAATTATATCTATTACGTTGGTTGGGCGCTTAGTCTCTTTTTTTGGTGGCAATAGTGGCTTCTCATCTTCAATTACGTCTTCGATAACATTTGTTTCTTTTGCTATAATATAAAAGATATAGTTTTTGTTTAGAAACTACACTCGAGTTCGAATATTTTGGCTAATCGACTGACATTCATGATTCAACACAAAAATGCGGACTTTGGTGAATAATTGTTGTTAAATCAAAAATGATTTCTCATTCAACTGTAACAACAAAAATTCAACAATTTCAAACACAAATGTCATATACTTGACTATGATCACCTATTTGCAGTCAATTAGTTATTATATTTTTACATGGAGATTTCTGCTTGCTTCTTACCTTCATCGACTTCATTCTTAACATCTTCCATGTCCTCATTAAGTTCTGCTCGCAACTGGCCGAATATTACACAAAATAGAAGAAGAACAGAAAAGGTCGCTTTCAATTTCATTTTAGTTGATTGTTGAACTGTGTAACAACTTATGAATTGAAGTGAAGTGACGATTTTTATTTGATTTAAATTGAACACTGTCGTCGCTTATATATAGTCCAGATGGCATTTATCACAAATATCCAAGCGAGAAAACAATTGGCACTTTGAATGCAGTTATTTGTTTACTACTGTTTGAGAAATACGATCAATTCTTCTCATTTTTCCTTAAAACAATTGCTCAAAAAATTCGATTGTGTGCAAAACTAGGGGTTGATCTGTGGAAAATCTTAACTAACAGTTAGATCTTGCACATTTTCTTGTGAAATTTGTGTGGCTTATCAAATCCTGTTCAATTTAAAGTAAAAGTTTTCCCCCCAATAAATTAATAACGACTTGTTGTAAAAAGCAACAATGAATCATACCTCCTAAATGCTCGATTCGTATATTTTATAAAAAGGGTCATAAAATGTAATGCTTGATGTGTTTGTTGAAAGAATTTGCACTAGACCAGTGTGTAATTTTAGGTATGCGTCCAATGTATGTCGAACCTGTTTCATTTTATACGGCGACAAGATGATAAAAACGAAAATCAGGTAAAAAAAGACTCGCAAAAACATTTCCCTCTGTGTTTTTTATGAAATGCCACTTACAAATTAAAGTGTGCTCTGTTACGTCGTATATGCATAAAAATTATGCCTGGAAGCCGCTGCTTGAAATTTTCTCCGCTTGTACAAGTAGCAATGATCGGTGTTTAAATTCTTTTTTTATCGATTTCGTTCAAATTCCTGCTGGGGATCGCATCTAGTGCGCCATTGACGCGCCATGTCTCAGGAGGTAAATTATAAAACAATTGTCATAATTTCACTTCACTTTGCGTTTTAATACTTTTCTTTTCTATTCGAAAATTATCTGCAATATAAAGCATTTACAGCAGGCAATTTCATACCACCGTAAAGCATAAAAAATAAATTGATGCTTTCGAAACCAAATATTGATGGCTATTGTTGATAAAAGAAATAGTAGCGAAACCATTTAAATAATATGAATTTATTCGCCTAATTTATTGCCGTATTCACGTATTTATACTAATGATAGTTGTGAATTTGAGCGATACTTAAATGTAAACTATACGTATGTTTGGCGTTCAGTTTCATCGTATAATTTAATAACGATTTGATATAATATCGAAACCGAAGCGAATTTCCTTATTTCGTCGTTGCTGCTTTTATTCCATATTTTTCTGTGCATTTCGCAATTAAACACATTCAAATGCATTTTCAATCATATCAGATCATTGAATCTAGGTAACTGGCATAAATATATTAATGCAGCCCCATAAACATATATGAATGTCAAATTCCCTCGTGATTCGCTAGTCGTTTGCCACTTTTATTTCTTGGTAAACGTTCGATCTGCATAAGATCATTTATGTTTTTTGTATTCCTTCATGCAAATCATAAATTCGAAATTACACAGTGAACAACAAATTTTTACACAATTACCTATCCAAAAATAAGGAGACTGAATCAAGTGCAAGATAAAAATGAATGGCAAATAATGCATGGGATAAAATTCAATTATAACAAATTATGCCCATTTTTAGTGATATAAAAAAAAATCATTTAAAATTACTAACGATATGCTTGTCAAATGGTGGAATGAAATGTTATTCACCTGCTGAAATGGAACGAAATGCAATTTAATTATGATTTACATGCATTTCTAAATCAAGCGCAAACGGTGCACAACCTTAACGATGATGTAATTGATCAGATATGTGGTCAAGTTGGAAAAAATTAGTTTTTTGACTGACAATGATCTCAGATAACAGTACGATTCAAAATCATCGTATACACATTTCTAGACATTTTCATTTTACTTTATTTGGCTGAAACATTCCGTCCGAATATGAAAAACGTTCTTTATATAGATTGTATAATTTTTGTACAACTCGATAACAGTATACGGTTTGCCATAAATGTATGCACCATGAATAGATGATAAGTAGTAAAAAGAAAAGATGAGAAAACAAATCAATGCATATGAACACACATCGAGCCCCGCAACGGAAAAAAAAGAAAGAAGGCATATAACGAATGTTGACGCGTGCGTCTATACAGAAAAAAAAGTGTACGCTCAAGAATGCAAGGCTATATTCAAGGTTGTTGCTATAGTGTCTGCGCGATAAGCATCATGTTTGGCCATTGAAACATATGACTCTTCCAACTGCACTTGCAGCAATGTCTTTGAATCGAGCACTCTGTAAATAAACTTCGATTTAGTAGAAGAGAGCGAAATGTTTTCGCAATGAAGAAATTTTTTTCCACTGACATTTTCAAGTGTAGAAAATAAAGAGAAGAAACTAGAAGAGCGGTAGCCGATCGCCGGTTAAATGCAAACGACAACAAGCAATAAACAAACATCAAATGCAGAAAAAAAAAGGAAAATAATCAAAATGCTGCAAGTTTATAATAATGATTCTTTGTCGTTGTTGCTGTTGTCGTCATTCGGCCCCAAGCAGTGATTTCGTTCTGAAAACAGAAACGATTGACACACAAAATAGGATCATCGTGTGCAACATTCCACGGTTGAACGAAGCGATATCCTGTTGATTGTGTTGTTTGGGACCAATTGGTTTAGGTAAATAACAATAAATGAATAGATGCATTTGATCAGGTCGGTTTTTGATGCATTACGTGCAGTAGCATTTTATAGCTGAAGTATGCATTGCTGGAACAGAAAGAAAGCACTTTGTTCAGCTTTTTCTTTACTTAATATGGCTCTCGACCATCCATGGAGAGAACTACTTTTTCCAAAACGGCATAAACATAAATGTGTATATGAATTTGTTCAAACGTGCAATGAAAATTGCACATAAAAAAACAATCAAGAATGCAATGGACAATGACATAAAGCAAAAATCTGAAATACCAGCGAATGTAATGGAATTGAGAAAAGAACCGAACAGAACCGATGAACAGCAATTGCCAGGCAAACAATTTTATGTTTTTAAAAAGCGATCCATTGGCTTTAAAATGAAATGCACTTGTTAATATCGCTTCGTTTGGATTGACGAAACCCTTTGAGAAAACCAGACTGCATAAAAACATCATATCGGCGACTCTCGAACCTTATGGGACCTTGAAATGTTTGTCCGTTGTCTAACGTTTTACAGTGCATAAACAGCACTTGTGTGTACCGGTTCAATCACACTCATTAAATATTCTGTGCACAAAACGTTGCTGGTCTCTCTCTCTCTCTCTCTCGCTGTATTTCATTCTCTTCGCAAACGGAAATATTCAAGTGGACTGGGCAGCAAACAGACTTTACAACACGCATCACAAACATATAATTATATATCGAAAATAAAACATCGTTCATATGCGAATCAAATGAAGTTTTTGTACTCATAAAAATCAATTCAAAATCTCGGAAAATTGCAAACGCGCTACTTAATTTAGCCGGCAGTCGAATGTTGTTTTGATTTGTACTTGTGATGAGTGGTGGAAAGAGTTGAACAACAAAAAATTGAATTCTTGAAAAATCACTTGAAAATAGTTAAGATTGCAAAGTGCCATTGAGTTAGATAAGCACTACATGCGCTTTGATGAAGACAATGAAGGCGCTCGCTTTGGTTGCAGCAAACAGCAGCAGCAACAACATCTGAAACAAATCTCAACTCGTCGTTAAGTCTTGTCGACAACAACAACATCATAAAAACCACTTTTTACATTGCGCGCACCACAATGTAATAAATAGCTAACAATGAATTTGCACCTTCCACACCAATCGCTGTCAAAATGTTCATGTCGTGACACGTGCTTTCAGCGACACTAATTAAATGTTCCTTCCATTTTTTTTCTCTTCGTCTTTCGAGGAGTTTTTTCTCTGTACACACACACAAACAAGAAATTAAACTACAAGTTAACGAGAACGAGAATTTAAATTGAAACAAAAAATTGTATACACACTGTTTGTTCGAATAAGTTTGCGTTCTCCATTAAAGTGATATCGTAAGACTTGGTGCGGAACCTGCTTTCTAAAATGATTTATTTCTTGAAATTCAACCGTTCAAAATTCAAATCATTTCGATTCAAATGGCGAGCTAAGAGTAATCAACAGTAATCGCATCGAAACACTTCCACAAGTGAAAATTGGTTTGAAATGAACGAAAGGAAAAAAAACGGATCAGAAATTTGTGTAAAACAACAGAAGAAATGAATGCAAAACAGAATAAAATGTTAACTGTAGCATGTAGCTCATTCGATTAGTGGTTTTTTTTCTCTTTCACTCGCCACAGATCAAAACAAGGACATTGTGGCGCCACACCATAAACACATTCGATACATTTGACGTAATCATATGCAGTTTTTCATGTGTGTGTTTTTTTCTTCTTTTCACTCTGTAGTGTGTGTGATGTTTCCACTCACTTTTCGGTTCAATGTGCGCACACTCTTTGGTGTATCAGGTTTCTTCGAAACGGTCGCAACTAAACCAAACCGACAATCAAATTATGCACCGACTTCGTTATTATCAATCTGTTTCGTAATCCGCAATGTAGAAATGTTGCATCGCATTGCTGATAAAAAAAAGAAACGACTATACCGTCGTGTTGTTCGCGCGTGGTGCAAGGAAATGCAATAACTTTTGCATTCAACTCTAGATTATCTCAAATAATGGAGCATATCGAATCCAATGCACACACCGCTCCGACAACAAAAAAAAAAATAGGCAAGAAAAGAGGAGGAAAAACAAACCTATGCAAAAGTGATTCATATCGGAGCCATATATTTTCTTCGTGTTTCGCATAACAGCCCAACTGAATGAAAGACAAAAATAAATTAAAAGGTTTTCTGCCAATGTAGTCTTTATTTGGTGTCGCAATTCGCCAGCGAAACATCCATAATTTTATTAATATCGCATCGTACATTACAGATTTCATAGCCAGAGCAGTTGAAATTGGACGTGCAAAACATGTGTGACACACATTTCCAGTGACGAAAACAGTTTCTTTTCCAAAACTGAGCGCAAACCGACAAGAAAAAGAGGTGAATGATGAAAAAAAAGCCAACAAAACACATGCATTGTACAATTATTATTATTTGCGAACGAGATGTTGATCAGGTTTATTCATTCTCATTATTTTTCATTTTTCTGGTCGCGGCGGCGGTGTTGTTGTTGTACTTTTTTTCCCTTCATTCGAATGTGCTGCTGTTTTTCGTAATAAATTTTCGATTCATCGTGTATGAACCGAAGGAGTGATTGTGTGTATTGGCTGTGTATGACACCGCATCGGATTGGTGGTTTTATGTGTCATGTAATACAGGCGTTCACCAATTTTGCTTTTCGTTTCGAATTCGAATGCATGCCGACGAAAAAAAAACACATATATATGATTTTATTCGATTCATTTCCATCGCGAGTATTGCACGTTCAATTCAATTCAGGTGACGACTCACACATAAAATTACGCCAGCAACTAGCTGAGGAGAAAAAGGCCACACGGCCAAAAGAAAAACACAAACACATGGATCGTTTCGTACGGTAAATTGAGTAAAGAAAAACAAACGAACGTCATGCCAACAGGACATACCATTTACGGTTAATTCTCTTTTTTATTTCGCTGCGTTTACTCCGATATTTATGGAACGGTGCGGTGATCGAGCATTCGCTTAATTTATTACAATTCGAAAATGCATGTTTTATTGTCGGCTCTCATATGCACGCGCAATGACTCTCTCGTTACGTGGAAACGGACACAATGTTGTTGTTATTTTTTTGCTATGTCCATTCGCGCCAGCGCGCACTTTTGGTTGTCATGTCGTTTGTATTAAATTATTACATGCTTACTTTTTTAACCATGCACTTTTGCTCCGGCTCAACTCTATTTGCCCCTAATTTTGCAATAAAACCATAGTTTCATTCAATACGCTACCAACATAGCATATTTAAAATATCCACGACTCTCTGAATGTGGTGTGGAGTCCATCTTGGCTACATTGTATACGACAGCATTCAATTGTAAATTTGCTTCTGTTTTGCGGACCAATACAATTGCTTTTTACAACGAAATCACAACAGGCCAATGGTATAAACATAAATGTTTGTAGTTGGGGCCAAACAAGCCGCTTAAAACAATTCCAGTACATTCATCAAATTGATTAAGTCATTCATAAAAAAAAATTATGGCCTGAGTTTTGCTACTTCCAAATTGGCACCTTTTTTTCCTTCTCAACATGCGCATACAAGTGTCAAGTGTCATGAACATAACGCAACATGTGTTGCCAACGATTTTTGCCCCAATTTTCATATATTTTAATTTCAATCTCAATAAATCAATTGAACTCAAATAGAACCATTAATATCTCACCCAAATTATTGCTCAAGAGAAGTTGAGAAAAAAATACTACATTACATGGTATCTTTAAAATCAGAATTTATTTCGCAAACAGTAGCTGTATTTTTTTATTGAATAAATTTGATCGAAGGAAGAGAGCCACATTTTTGCTCAATCTTCACTTCTTGTCATAGAATGTTAAACAAATGCATCCACCATTTTCACATATTCCAGCGTCATCTTGTAATCCCAAGCATAAAGAATTACAATTAGATTCTGAACATCCACCCACATTTTCGTCCAAACCACCAACCAAACCTGAAGTAACACAGACGTAATTGTTAAGGATTATAATTCAATCGTAATATATACAGACGTATTACCTAAATTGGCAGATCGCTTCATCGAAAAACCATGTATTTCGCCAACAATTGCAAATAGTAAAAAAACAGCGATAAAGATCATTTTAGACTTCATCTTCAAAGTGCCTTTAATTTGAACAAAAATTACAATTTTGATTTTGTTGAAGCCGCTTATATAGATCAGATGGCATTTTTTACAAATATCAAAGCGTGAAAATACTTTGCAGTTTGAATGCAGTTATTTATTTATTGCTGTTTCAAAAATACGATCAATTGTTCTCTTTGACAATTTCGGCATTTTTCTAAAAAACAATTCGATTGAAAAAAAATTGCACAAAAATTGTCGACATCTTCAAAGTGAACGAATGGTCGTCAATAAGTAATAGTATGCTCCTGTAGAATGTTGTTTTTTTTAAATACATTTCGTACATTTTACAGAAAGGGTCATAAAATGTAAATGTTGAAAGAATTTGCACTAGACCCGTGTGTAATTCCAGTCATGCGTCCACTGTATGTTGAACCTGTTTCATTTTATGCGGCTGCAAGATAATAAAAACGAAAATTAGGTAAAACTTGTAAAAAGCAATTCGCTCTCTGTGTTTTTTTTATAAAACGCCACTTACAAATTAAAGTGTGCTCTGTTACGTCGCATGCATAAAAATTATGCCTAGAAGTCGACGCCTGAAATTTTCTCCGCTTGAACATTCATTTGGCAATAATAATTATAATCGGTGTTTAAATTATTTTCATCGATATCATTCACATTCCTCTCAGTAATCGCATCTAGTTACCACCTATTCAGGAGGTAAATTGAAAAAAAAAGACATTGTCAATTTCACTTATTTTTGAATTCGAAAAGCATTCTCAATCCCACATTCAAATGCACGAGCTACTTGGTATACTTTTTTGGGGATCGCATATGTAATAAGATGTTTCAGATTGAGTTTTTATCAATTTATTCAGGGGCTTCGTATGAAAAACAAACACCAACGCCAACACAATGAGCGTTGACGGTCTTCGTGATTTGCGGTTTCGATTATATTCGACAGTGACAAGAAAACACACACACACACACACTCATTCAGTGATTTCGCTTCTCACGATATTTTTCGTAACGATGTATGTCAATAAGCTCATAATAATTACACAAAATGGCAATTTCACAGCGACTGTTATGCGCTGTTCAGTGAAATCGAATTTTATTAACCTATTGGAATCTTCATGTAAAAAAAAAGGTGGTGGGCAATTTCTGTCTGTCAGCTACATAATGTTATTCAATAATCAAAAAAATTATGCGTACAAAAATAGTGTGGCATGGAATTATACGACAAAAAGTTTTAATTTTTAAAAGGTACGGCCAATTATAAGCGATAAACAAGACTGAACAAATAGCATATAAATTTAATGTTAAGCGGATCAAAGTATCTCATATGTGAGCTTGCTTCAAATAAATTTAAAAAAAAAGTTTGAAGAGCAACGAAAATAAAAGCGAGAAAAATCGAGTTTCAATTTCAGTCAAAAGTGCCGTATGCAATAGTTCACATACATAATAATGAAAACAATGACAGCATCGTAATTTATCAGCGCTTAAAAACTTATTTATCATTGGATGCAGTTGTGGCTTGCCCCACACGTACACCAGAGGTGATCGGTTTGGTTGTGCCGCTTTTTTACTGTTGCTTTTTATCGATAATTTTCATTAGCTGAACTTTTACAGAAAATCTCATACACACAACGGAATAGAAACTCGTTAAAAAAATGTTTTCTCGGCACTTATATCTCCACCTCGTTGTGCCACCACTCTTTCGTTCAATTGCATGCTGGTCGACTGGTGTGGATACGTTCGATCTCGCCAGCATTGTTAACTGGACTACATTTGCAGCAGTAACACGTTCAATTCATTTGTATCGTAAGTTGAAAGCCTATAGTCAATTCCGTGCGAGACATTTCCCCATGCATTCCACACAAGCGAGCGCATCGATCGAACTCTGTTCCACATGAATCGTTCGTGCATGTTTGTTCATTCGTTTTATTCGCTCATTCCATTCCGATGAAGTGCGAATGATGTATTTCCAGTGAGTCAGCTGAAGGGGGAATTGTTGATTTTTTGTTTCTTTCTGCTTCTTCAAAAGAGTCGATGTTTATAACACGTTGAAGGCATGCTTTACCGTTTACGTTGATCGAAACCTATTTCGAGTGATCTGTGTGTCCGCGCCTTATGCATTCATCATATGAATTGAGTGTGAGTATTTTTGTTATTCCATTCTCCGTCGCTTGATCAAGATCCGAATTTCAATTTGGAGGCTCATAGGCTTGTGCGTTGTGTACACTGCTCATTTGTCTCAGTTTGTCTGATGCTCTTCACACATTTGGTCGCATTGTCACGTTACTGTGCGCGAAGCATTTTGTGTTTCACACAATTTTGTTCAATTCGACGAGAAATAAAGTTTTTAATTTTAAAGTGACTGAGTGAGTTCAGGACAATAAAAAATATTTCTGAACAAAAGCCAATAATTCTTTTTCTGGCTAAGAAAAAAAAATCATAAAAAAATCCAATATATATATTTTTTAAAGACTCTGCGCGTGATGGACAAAATGAGTCAAATGTTTTATTTGAAGTGGTGACAATAATATTTGAACTCATTGGCAAGTAACCATTTTTGGAGAGTTTAGTGAATTTAGTTGTTGTTGTGGTTTTTGTTTGGTTTCAAGTGCGCAGGCGTCAATTTTGGTCAATGAAAAAGTCATAATTTATGCGCGAAAAGAAAGAAGATTAGCAGCGAATCAACGACAACTAAAAATTAAACAAAAAAAGAGCCAAAATAAATTGTTGCCGTCATTAAATTTTGTTCGCTTATTTCCTATTTTGGTGTTATTGACAAAGAAAGAAATATCTCGATAGAATCGAGAAAAAAAAGCAACGATTTTAAAAATAACTCTCTAAAACACTTCATGCCCATCATCATCACCATCATCAAAAGAACACTGGCTTTTGCTTAATGCATTTAAATGTGATAAATAGACAACAAGATAAGGACAAGAACAACGTAGAATAAACCATTCGATATTTTCTACATCGCAAAGACAAAAAAAATAGTGACAGTTTAACTCATCGTGTCAGCTGAGTAGGACAAAAAATTACATTAAAATCGCATTCAGTTTTCATCATTGAATCAGAACGCACACAAAAATAGACGAAGAACAAAAAAAATCAACGACAACAAGAAGGAAAACATTTAAATAGAAGCGCAACAACTGTGTATTCAGTTTTTGTTTTTTTCAACATCAAAGTTGACTTGATTTGATCGTCCTTGCTTAATCAAGCGAACCGGTTGCCATAATAAATGAAAAGTGCATGTTGTCGTTATGACTACATTTTTAAGCCCATAAAAAAGCGGCAACAAGCATTCAAGTGAAGCAACCGCAAAATAAATGAAGAATTAGCCCAACAAATCGATCAAAGATCCGTGAATACCTTAAAGGTATGGAAAGAAACTATTCAACGCATGTTTGATGTGGACGATTTTTTTCTTTTCATTCGTGATCGCATTCATTTCGTTATCATTTCTGCGATTGCATATTTTTTTTGCAAGACATAAACGGCGGCCGGATAAATGTGTGTACAGTGACTGTTTTGAATTTGAATTGCGAACATTTTCCGAGATAGTGAGGAATAGACAAAAAAGAGACAAACAAGGAACGGTAGTTCATAAACATCTAAAAGGCATGTACTAAAACAACGGTGGCAGTTGCAATACTTGAAATCGAGCATCAGAGTGGATGTGCTTGTGTGTGTGTTTTGTGTGTGCAAGCAACTCGACTCAATTTCTCTATCGTATCGGGGATTTCAAGTGTAACACAAGCACTAAGAATTTTCGTTTCTTTTGATGCTGCCTTGTCGCATTCGATGTCTATTTATTTTGTTTCTGTTCTTGTTTGTCGTTTGCATGCGCAACGATGCTAAAACGGACAAGTGATATAAATATGGTGATCATAAATTAAAAACGACTTCTGGTAGACGAGTTCTTTGAATCGAGTGTTGTGTATGTGTTGCAGTACATCGATGTGCAAGTGGATTCTTGTGAAAAATTACCAACAAATAGACACACTATTTTTTTTTACATACACATTGCTCATTCGTTTCGTGTGTTATCTTTTCTATTTAGTGGTGCAAATTGAACATGATTTTTGCAATTGCCATCTCTATTTCTGAACGTTTCAATTTTTTTGTTCGTTTGTTGTCCATGGACTCAAATAAAATGGTGAAATCAAAGAAGGAAATTTTATGAAACTATTTTGCACACATACAAAAAAACAGACTAGACTAAAAAGAAATCGAAAAACAAAAAAACAATATTTGAAACAACACAACGCGAAAATTACGACAGTCACCATAAAAAGTGCAACAAAATACGTCGTTAATTAAAAACGAACACTTGAAAGTTAAAGAAAAAAGACTATAGACACTTCAACAGACGGTTGATTTAGTAAATCAAAAGGGGAAAAAACCAATCTGAGAGTGAATCTGTTATCTTTTTGCTGCCGAAGAGAGAGATTTCATCAAGAGCCGATTGGAGTCAGCGCGTGAATCAGACAGCGACAATAAACAACATCATTCATTCTCTCCACTGAAAATCATTGTGCGCGTTTTTTTTGCGTGATTGTTAATCTAGAGGAATTCCAACGAAAAGCTTAAGGTTTCGAGCGATTGGCCAGTAATTGAATAAACAAATGGTTTGTACATTTTTTTACTTGAACATAAATTCAATCCAATCAAATTAAAAATATATGTTAGAACAATCGTCTTTTGGCACAGCTCAAACCTAGGCTCAAACAAATGCAAAACCTTTTCTACTTCAAAAAATGGCTGTTTTTCCTGGTGCACTGTGACCTTTTTTTGAAAATTCAATTTACATCAAACGAAGACACGAGAAATAATAAATTCTTGATCGCATATCAAAAAAATGTAATATAACATAAGAAGAAAAAAAAATGTTTGTACACTGCCCAGCGGCCACATTCACATAATGTAATGTAATGTTTATGCATCATACAAGCAGACTTTTTATTCTTTTTTTTGACGAATTTATAATGAATATGTGCGCTTGTCTTTTACCATTGCACATTCAATCTGACTCGAGGTTTCATTTCTTTGATTCATCGCATTTCACGTGTTTCTTGTTATTTCTTGTCTTTTTTGTTCGTTGTTTTTTTTTTTTTGAATATTTTATTGTAATTGTTTTGTGTAATTTGTGATGTGTGTTTTGTAAACGAATTATTCGCGTTTGAATTGCGCCCGTCAGGCGATTGCCCGTTGTCTAGCGCAGAGAGATGTATATATTTCATAAGCGATTTAAAATCCTAAGCACCGTTTACATTCAGGCCGATTGAATAGAAACATCTGATGCATGTTGCACAACGCATTCGATTTACAACAGCGTATCAAAACAAAAATATCAATCGAAAAACGGAGAGAGAACGCAAGATTTTACACATATTGTGCATGAAATACTTTGTACACCAGAGACAGAGACACTGAGATCTGTCAGAACAATTTTACAAAAGTTAAATATGTGGCATTTTGGTGGTTTTATTCTTCGTCGCTGCCAAATAGAAACCGCAAGAATTGTAGCGCCAGTGGACAATTTATAGCTCTTTAAGCCTGACATTGATGCAAAGAAACAACAATTGAAAAAAATTAAATTGAAAACAACTTTATTTAGAACAGAAGAGATCGGTGGATCAAGTAGAGATGTTTATTTCTGTTTTTTTTTTTGCATTTTGAAACGACGAAACATGTCTGCGGGTTACAATTTTACACGTGTGTATATTTTTGCAAATGTGACACTGTCGCAACGTGTTCGCAACTTAGTCACAGTGACAGAGTTAATTCTGTGGTGGTGCGTATGTTTTTGCACAGAATGTGAATGCATTTGTTTTTAACACAGTCGTTAGAAGCTCTTAAATTTTATTTCCAATCTTAAATGCGTCTGTTCATCCGGTGTTCGAAGCATATTTTGCAATAAACGTATCGATAAAATAAAATGAAAGAAAAAAATATATACCCACCTTTGTGCAAGCCACACACACACAAGCGAAACAAATAATGAGATGAATTTCCATGTTGGTCATAAAATTCATATTTATGTCATCGTCTAATGTAAAAATAGCCATTTTAATTGAGAATCGGTTTCACTTACCTCATTACACTTTCTTCATCGTTGCGTGCACAACAGAAAAAAAGAACCTGTAAAACTATGCCGCGTCAACTGTAATAAGAAAAGAAGATCAATCATTTAACAGTGCTTTTGAGAATAAGACAATTTTCATGATACGCAATGCATGGCGAATTTGATGAAAAGCACGTCGTCGAATTCAAAATGAGGATCGTCTCTATCAGCTCATGCCATAAACATTTGCTACGGATGTTCTCTTTATTTTTGTCCATTGCGACGACGCCTTTTTCCATCTGTTTTGTATGCGCATCAAAATACTTAGACGTGCTTGTTTGCAAAGGGCTCCCCTCCGCTCATTCCAAAAATTGTCAACGTTATTTTATCCCAAAAATAAATACACGGTTCATGTCGTGAACGTTTTGGTTTGCCTAAAAACACACGTGCACATCAAACGTTTAAATATAGCACGGATTTTCACAATTTTTGTTGCTCAACGGCACTAAAATGAAATACAAACAAAAAAACCCAACAACATACACAAATGTTAGTCAGAAAGCGTGATGAGCAAAAGGAACAGCTCTCTGGATGTTTTTAATTTGGCTGGTGTGTAAGTGAGCATTTGTTCGAATTAATTCGGTTATAATGAGTTTCGTAATGTGAATTTTATTTCCACCGCATTGTGCGTGTAGCACCAAAAAAAATGCTAATTAATTTGTTCCAAACAACGAATTGTAAAACATTTTTGTTCGTTCCCTTCATGCACGACTTTTTTTTCCGAGATGGGAGAAAAAAATGTTTATCTAAATTCGAAACAAATAAATGTTCACACACACACAAATTATTTCTCCATAAAATGAATTGAAATTCCGATAAATCAAAAATTATCAATTTCGGCGCAGAGAAACCCATTAAAAATGGTTAATTTAATTATGAAAATAGAGAATAAAAACCGAATGATCCGTGAAAAAAAGAGGAATAAATTGCCGTCGTCGCCGCCGCATTGAAAATAAAATTCATCAAAATCGAAACGGAGAATTTATCACTGCGCCGAAGGCATTTTCTCTTTCAATTTAGATAAACGTTTGGTGAGACGCGGGAAAAATACAATTTTCATGAATTTCATTGAAATTCAATAAATTTTATTAATTGATTGAGACAAGTCAAACGAATTGGCCGCGAACACCCATTGCACACACACACACATACCCAAGCTGCAGAGCAGTAGTCCGTATCGAATTCAATAAATGCAATGAAACAAAAAATTATGTAAAACAAAAAAAAATCGAGATCGGTTGATCGGCAAACTGTGTATACAAAAGAATATTTTTCGAAGGCGCGCACACATGTCATAGATCTATTGAACATTGCATAAAATTGCCAGTGATCCAACCAAGAAATATTTTTCCATAAATTCAAGACTCACGGTTTGTTCAAATCGAATTCGTGTCTATCGATATATTCGAATGAAATTGAACGAAAATGGAATATTATATTCAACCGATCTCATTCTAAATCGATTTTCTATTGTAGCTCGCGTCTATTAGATTATTAAGCTATCGACAACAGCAACAAAAAGGCAAACGCTTTGTTAAATGAAAAAAAAAATAGTAGTAGCGGCAACCAGATTCAATTAGATTGGCTAGAAAACAACGACGAGCAAATCGTTTGAACAAGCCTCCATGTAATTCGTTTGGTTTCTCTCTGTCCCTCTCTCCTCTCTCATTTCATACACTGTTCTCTATTTGTAATGCGTGTATATGTTATTATATTATTTATGCGCAGCATGAATGGGATCGATTTAATGAATTTAAATATTCAATAACCGTGAAATTGTTCATTATCGTTTTATATTCTCGTTCTCTGTTCGACTAATTTGCCTATTTGTAGATTTTGTGTAATGTGCTATTGTCGCGATCGGCTTTGTTGGAATAATTTTTTTTTAATGGCCCATTCAATTGTTTTGTTTCGCTTTCTCTCGTGTGTCTGAGTGTGTCTTGATTAGAACACAAGCAACGCAGATTCGATCGTAAAACAGCGACTCGTGTCAGGCATCAACGCATTAAATGAAATAGTTTATGAAAACATTGAATAAAAAAAATCTTTTCTCTTTCTCATTCAATGTAGAGTGGAATGAACAAAATGTGCGTTGTAAAGATTGCAAAGCAATCAAAATATGATTTAGTGTATTCTTTTGTGTTTTTTTCTTCTCCATTCAATTTATACGCTTGTTGATATCGTTGCAAAAAAAGGATGCTGAGGAGAGAAAAAGAGAAGAAAAAAACAAGAGTGTTTTCACTTGAAGTTTTTATTATTGATTTATGTTTGCCGCCTTTTTATTTACAATCAGAGGAAAAAAACGCCATTGTGAGCTGCATGTGAAAGGAAAAAAATAGTATTTTTTTCATTTCGAAAAAAAGAGAGTTAAATTTATAAGTAAACATAATGTAGTAAGCGAGAGCCACTCTTTTTCCGTCTCATTGTAATCTCACTTGAGTGTTCAAGATTGTGGTTTAATCGGTTGTTTATGCTAAGCCCCACTATTTATGCATACACACCATAAATTAAAACCGCACATGGAATCATCAACTTCAATTTGCATTTTTCTTCATTAAATATAAAGGCGAACGATTGCTTCGGCAAAAGTGCACACGGTAATTTCATAATGCAGTTGTTCTCTGTGCTACCGTTAAATTGAAAAGCGACGGTTTTTTCTCTTTAATAAATAGAGCAATGCGCTCGCTTGATCATCTCTGGCGAAATAATAAAGAGGTGTGGCACACAAAGCGAATGACTTTTTACAAGTTCAGTTAAAACAATTACAGGAAAGAAATGTATAAAGCCATTTCGAATGGGCGAAACGAAAGAAATGCCAGAATTTAATAGGAGTTTTTTGGTTTAAATTGCCGTAATTTTGGCTACTTCTTCGCTTCTGTTGCCGTAAAAGAAGAAATCAACTGTTTCAGTGGTTACCACTCCCAAAAAAATGCTACAGTGTAAGTCAGTGCGTCTATCAAAATTGAAATGCATCAAATCACTGATGTATCGCATCCGCAACCATTAAAAATAGATCTCGGGGAAATGATATTTGAATTTGTGTCGTTATTTCCTACTTGTTTTTTTTTATGTTTCACGAAATATTGCCGCCTTTATCATCACTATCAGCGTTTATTAATGAGACAATCACAAAATCAATTTAATTAAGTGAACGAACGAGGCGAAAACACATACACGAAAAAAAAACCTGAAAAACAGAAGACAAATTTGTACAACATGCGTTCCTTAATCGTGTTTTTATTTTGTTTCGACTCTCTCTCGTTCGATCCCAAATGTGGAATCATGTTAGTAAATAGTGTAACTATGCAAATGTTGCACCATTTCCATTTCCGTGTGGTGTTGGTGGCGATCGTTTAAATGGAATTTCAAATTCGAATCCATTTCCAAGATCATAAATGACTTTTGATAACAAAAGAAAAAAAACGACAGTTCACAAATGGGAAGGGAAAGTAATTGATACTGATAACCGAAGAAAAATGTCTTCGGGAGATATCTTAATGATTTTATTTGGCACTGATTTTAAAACATAGCATTGATGTAAGCGTTCATTGATGTCATTCTCATATCATTTTTTGTGTTATCGAACATTCTTTCGGTTTAAACACCATCCAGCGTATTACTTGTGAGTAAAATATGTTTCATTCATAATGAGTTTTAAATTGAAATGTAGCAAACACACATTGACATTATCATCGAATCACATCGCATTTATATTCCGGATAATACCGCACTAAAATTCTTAACTATGGTTCACCGTTCGTGAAGGCACCTACAATATAATCCCAAGACAATTTTTTGATCGGACAATGATTATGTGTTTATCCCACCTTTTCACAGTTACTATTAAATTAAACCCCGTTTGGCTCTCTCGATCTATCTCTTTTAATTGACTAAAAATTACGATGGAATAATCATCGTTTTCTAATAGATCGATAGAGTCTTCGTTCAAGTCCGTTTCATCAAATGTTCCATGACATCCGTGAGCATACGATCAATTCAAATGCGTGAAATCAATGCTCCGTCGCACTCACTCTGAAAAAAATGAAAAAAAAAAAAACATTTGAATATTGTATCTTAATGAAGATTACGATTAAAAACCATTAAAACAGTCCGACATCCTGAAATGTAACTAAAATTAATGCGACTATAAAATGCGAAAACGTTTAAATTTATTTTCTTTGTTGCTTGTGAAATGCTACTCAATAGTTGCGAAATTAATTGGTTGTATTTCAAATAGTTTACGAGCAAACGTTAGAAGAATCGGTTCGTCTCTATGAATTGAGAGTGTTTCGTTTGTTTGTTTTTTTTTTTCGTTGTTGTCGTCGTCATATACTTCTTATTCTTATGCTGCTCTTGGTTGCGTTGCACCGTTCGACCCGTTTTATTGACAACAACGAATAAACGCATCAAAATGTCGTTGTCACCATAATATTGGCTGGTTTATTCAACAATTTCGTTATGGTATCAGTAAATCACATGTGACGATTGCACATTAAACTGACTTTGTTGCAAGCGCACACTGCAATATAATTGGCACTAAATATAAGTTTGTTTGTGTGTTTTTTTTTTATTTTTTTTGTTCACTTCTGCAAAGACAATTCTCTGTATTGCGTGTACACGTTTAGAAATGAATCGTTGCTTGTTTAGTTACTTGGAAATTAGTCACTTTAATTAGGATTTACGTGTGTGAAGATGGTGAGCGCATAGAATCTTTCATTGTGACTCATTCACTCACTTTCGTAATTTCGAATGAAGGAGACAAAATAGGCGGCAAAGAATAACCATATAAATTTATCCTCTGAGAACATCGTGTACGCGCTGATTTCATAACCAAGATAAATCAAGAAGGTGTAAAATAGATCGCGATAAATGTATATTTTGTTTTTGCATTGAACGCGCGCACACACACAAGATTCACTTGTTAAATTATAATGCTCATCATTTGCGTTTCGTCTTACTCTCGCTCGATTCTTCATCACCTTAAATTGCACGGCAACAACAACAACAACGCGAACCGAAATGCAACCGATCTGACTCGCTGGCTACAACATTATTTTCATTTAAATTAAGGAACAAATGCAAATAAAATTGTAATTGATGTGATAATTTTCCACTCGCGTTCACGTTGCAAATTGCAACGGCATTTTTAATGCAGCATTTCGGTCGGTTCTGATGTATGCTCTGCGAGGCAGGACCTTTGGCACAATATTAATAGCATAATAAATTCTATTTCTGGTTTTTTGACAAGTCACACCCTTTGTGCTGTTTGTTCCTTTATTAAGTCAACGTGATTTTTACACTATATATATCTTGCGGAATCTCTTACCGCGCATGCAATGCACCGTGATCATTCAAGAAAATGCAAATATCGTGAATCAAATTTACTTGAATGAATCATAAAAAATGAACGTGCATTTTTTTTCTCTGTCATTTCGTTGTGCCACAAAATTTGCATTTAATTCCTTTGTATAACTTGATTTCATTTTTTGTTTTTTATAGAAGTAAAAACATATTATGATTTTCTTTAATAATTTGTTCTTTTTTTCTCTCTTTAATCCACAATTCTAGATCAATTCATACAAATACCATCAATACCAATTCCACCATCATCCACACCATTCGATTGTGCATCACACAAAAACGAATACAATGCCGAGCAAAATGAAGCAAAACACGATAAAATCGCTTGCCGAAACGGACCAACCCAACGAAAAGTATTCGTTGCGGCAACGACAAAAGCGTTCAACACGTAATACAAACAAACAAATCGAAAATAGTACAAAAACTGATCAATCGGATGCCTTAAGTGCGGTGAATACATCAATCGATTCAAGTACGCCGAACGCAGGAATGACAAAACAAACAAAAACCAATAAAAAATCAAGCGAAAAAGCAAAAACAAAACAAAAAGCCGCACCATTAAGTAAATATCGACGAAAAACGGCCAATGCACGTGAACGAGTTCGAATGCGTGAAATAAATAGTGCATTTGAACATCTTCGACAATGTGTACCAGTTTCGTTTTGTGACAACAGTCCAACTAATAGCAATGAAAAATTAACGAAAATCACCACACTTCGCATGGCAATGAAATACATTAACACTCTTACCAACATTCTTGGATCATCCGATGCGGAATGCGACACCGACTTATTAAATAATATTATCAACAAAAGCTCAATTGAAACACCAACGAGCAGTACATTCATGAATAATAACAACGATACCATGGCAATAAATAATAATAACACAACCGACGTGGAAACGAAACCAGCGACTAAAGGTAAACGAAAATCAAAAAAATCAACAACAACCACAGCCAATAAAACGATTAGCAAGCGAAAAACTACAAAATCAAAAACCAACACAAAAGCAACCAATAAAATCATTGAAAATAGCACGACGAAGAAAACTCAATTGTATGATGCGATACCGAATAATATCAGCACATTGTGTCTAACACCGCCATCATCATCAACAGATAGCCCAGTTGATTTGGGTTTAATGCTTGAATCGGATGGTGAATCACTACATTTGTCTGAACCATGTCTGAGTCCGCCGTTATCTTCAACGCAATCGACAAAACCATTTATTAGCACAATGGTTTCGCCGCCATCATCAATGACCATGTCAAACGGTCTTGATATCGGACTATTTCTCGATTCCGACACCGATTCATTGCATTTTCCTGAACCATGTCTTAGCCCATTGGACGGTGGATTTGATGCATTCAGCCCATTCGGTGATCTTTTAAATCCTGGCTTTCCCGAACATTCAGCACTCGACATTTATTTAACATAGATTCATATGACGCGATATTTGCTTTAAGCTTTTACTTGTAAATTAAACAACCAGACATATATTTTATTATTTTTATTATAATTTTTTTCTTCTTCTCTGTTTTGTTCGATAAGTGTAAATCATTCCTGCGAAACCCAATTTTTTCTCAATGTGTCATATTATATTTTAAGGCGAGAGAGGTGCTATTTTCCTATAATACTGTAAAGTTTGTTTTTAGCATTATTATTCATTTTCGTGTGTAAATTAGACGTATAATAAACAGTAAATATTATGTCAGTAGGTAATGCTAAGTCTACTATAGAATTTAAGGGGGATTTCCGGTGCAAAAATATTTGAGGATTCGCAACAACAACAAAAAAATCGATGAGCAGCCGATCAGCTGAAACTTTGTTCGAAAGTGAAAAACATGTTTGAACAGGAAATACTTTGAACATATGATGACGATAGAAACCAGCAGCGTATGATATTGTATAATTTGTCGACTAAAAGACGCCAGTTTTCGAGATTAATTTATTAATAAATTTATGCGTTTATTTTTCTTCTTTAATTTTTATTATGCCATAGGGACATTCAAAAATCACTTCATTGATCCGAAAGACATTTATTCGAGTGAATAAAAAAAAAACGAAAAAAGAAAAACCATTTATACACTATGAAATATATTGCTCGTATGACTCTTATATTGCGGCCATAAATTAAGTGTAAAATATTTTGTTTGCGTTTTAATGTGCTTTTACATTAGTCAGGCTAAATTTAAAATGTCTTCTGGAACATTCAATGTTGACTTTAATTTCGTATTTTGTTTCGAAAAAAGTACGTTGTTTTTTGGTAGCTTGAGAATGCCACATAATTCGTCTTCTTTTTGTGCTTTTTGGGTAAATGACCCATTTTAAAAATAATCACACTTGTGAGCTTCACACTTGAGTATCTTACACTACGTGCAATGGAATAAGTAAAATTGTTGATGGAAACGGTCTCGCATAGACAGAGCTTGCCTTTGAAGAAGAAGAAGAAAAAACGGAGCCTCGAGTATTATACCGCTCATAAATTTCTATCTCGTGTGTATTTTCTTAGGATATATATCCTATCGTAACATAAATTATTGCACTTCACAATGTATACACGCGCGCGCACAGCGCACACACACTATTTGCAATAATTTTTTAGTGGATATTATTTACCATATTTTTGTGTCGATTTATGTGCTGAAACTTAATTAAATGCTCGGATTTATAAGGAACAGACATCAATGTATATCGTTCGTTGTTTGCATAATTTTAAGTGGGTATATGACGTGTACGAGAAAAACTGTGCTAAGAATTAGGTCCCATTTTGGATAAAATAGAGATTGTTTTTTTATTATTCTTTCGCATATTTACGAAATAAATTTAAAATGACTTTACATGAATTATTATTGTTTTTTTGTTTGACTCTTTTTTTCATTTCAGTAGTTCTTTTTTTAGTAATGAAACATACAATGAGGTTTGCGTTTTTAATTGAATTTGTACAATGAGTCAAGTGTATATAATAACATTTTAATTTCATGCAGCGATAAATCTATTGATTGATTTCATTTCACAATTGTGCACATTTTATGCGCATCTATTACATTTTCAATTAAATTAAGTGCACTTTAGAATTAGCGTCATTGCGAGCGTATTGAAATTGAGCCATCACGTCATGATGAACTAATATAAATTCTGTAGTTAATGGTGTTCTTTTCCTAGTTAATTGAAACGCCTTTGTGTATTGCGGTATTGATATAAATAAAATAAACTACATTTGAAAACTGCATTCTTTTGTAATCATTGACGGTGATGCAAGTGAGTCTTAAATCATAGCTCCTTCAATTGTTTTGAGCTAAGCGTTTTCATCATCATATAGTATGTAATGACTAAACGGAGCAACTGAAGATGAAAAAAAAAGTGACATGAAAAAACTGTTTAATATTGTGATTTGAAATCATCTCACCGCACAAAATGTTTCCAAATTCAAAGTAGCAATATTAAAGCCATAATGCAGTGGTTTTTGTGTGTTTCCAATCAAAAGAATAAAATACTTTTGTAAATCAATTGAGAGATCTTGCCAATTCGATTCAAATGAACATTTGTTCATCTTTTCATAACTGTCACTGGCTAATTTACCAAAGAAACAATAGAGGAACAGATTCGCTGAACTCGTCATGCTAGCAATCAAAAGTATGCCAAGATTAAAATCGATGTGTTTTGATTCCTTGAAAATAAATTTAAATGATAGATTTCGTAAAAACAATACATCAAGCTCAAAATTTACCAAATCCAATTGAAATAGAACACCGGATAGAAAAAGCATGCTACAAATTAATTGAACCATAATATATGCGCTGTAGAGATCTGCTGTTTCCAAAAACCACCTATAAAAATCAAATATTAATTAAAAATGGACATATTTCGTTGTTATTCACGATCACCCTTTAGTTGAAATGTGGAACTGAACTATTTTCGAAAGGAACTTCTTATGATTTCGAATTTCATCATGACGATTCAATTGTTTCGTATAAAAACGAAATTCTTCGTAAAAAACTCTATGATATAGGCATATTGAAATGAAAAGCAGTAAAAGTGTCCCATTAACAAAGAAATATGATTCGGCAGTTGCAATTGTGTAGCATAACTCAGCAATGTATCCGATTGGTGTTTCATCGTTCCAAGGCAATCTGTGTGAATTTTAAATAAACACTTATCTCATTATTAATGACATTAACATCTTTCGAAAATGAAAATCATCGAAAAAGAAAGAATTATTTTGATTCTAAAAATGAAAGTAAGTATACATACGTAAGTTTATATGGGTAATACATGTATTTAGTATCAAAGTGTCCACTATTAATCATGCAAATCAAATATGAAACTGAGCACATGGTGCAAGTTGCGACAAGGAATCCGAAACAGTAATATTTAAGGTAATTCTCCCAAATTCGGGCACATATGTGATTGGTTTCATTTAGCAATTTATTGAAACTATCGCTTGAATCTAAATTGAAATACATAAACTTATGGTTGTTTTTAAATAGACCTTCCGTGAAAATGATTAAATACTTACACATTTCACAGATTTCATACAAATGATCGAAGATAGCAGTCATCCTGTGGCGCAAAAAGAATGTAATAATGATCACATATGTGACTGAAGAAAATGCTGCGATTTGAACAAGAGCGTATAGGCTTCGCTCCAAATCAATTGTCACGAATTTTAAATAGAAAGCCAAACTTGCAACCGAAACACTTAAAATGATCAAGAATATTATCAAAGTAAACATTTGGTATGAAAATCTCTTGAATGCGCCAGTTTCTTTGTCCGCAGGAAATACACAGAATTTAGTCAAGATTTGACGACAAGTGTACAATGGTTTTCGATTCAAATCCATTTTTTTCACACACGCCACCGAATCAGATTAGTTGAATGGTATTGATTGACTGTTCCCCGAATGTGGCGAGAGAGGTCTTATAAAAAAAATCAAGCAGACAACAACACAAAGTATCCTTAACTATAATTGAACGGTAGATACTTTAATTGAGTTATTTACAGAGGAAACTTTTTACCAACAGATATAAATGACCGTCTTGCAACATGCAATTATGAATAATATCTCATTTGTTTAACAAACAGAATTGTATTTGTTTTCAAAACTTACACATGTAATATGTCAACAAAGTCGTTAATTGTAGTAACTCGATTGGGATGAAATTGTAATTTAAGGTGAAAGCGAAAACTTTCTAGACGGTCATTGACTCCGTTGAATTTTGGATTTGTTACGTCTTTTTCATATAATTCTTATAGATTGTTTCAACATACTCTCTGTTACATTGTTGCGTACATTATTTGAAAACTTTGTTGAAAGATAATAGATGTTGGAAAAGGTTCCGTAACAGACAAATGGTACAAAAGATTCAGAAAGATTCAGAACGGGCAGTTAGCCCGTTCGGCTACCCAACGGCTGAATAAAAAAAATTAATTTATTAGGCCGTAAGACGAAATGTCTGACTTTCCCAAACTGCATACATCGCCCCTATATATTATGTGGTTTAGATTTCAAATACGCAATTAACACAAAAATGATGTACGAATATTATATCAAATGGATATTGTTAATTGCAATTAACAATTGTAATTTCAATTGATGCATAGATGATTTTAAAAAATTGTTTCATTCTTTATAATCAAGACTAACATTGAAATGCTGAGCGAATATGTTCATTAACATAAAAATATTATTTTACTTTTGACATTAAGTGAGAAAGAATGAAGCATTGAAAAAGCAACAAAAATCTTCGTTTTTCTTTTGTTCAGAAATAATTGCATCGTTTTGTTCTTATTAGAGGATAATGAAGTCAGATGTTAATAATTCAAAATTATTGCACCTCAAGCGGTGTTAATTGAAACATTAATCGATTCGGTATTCAAAACAAGTGCCATCCAACTGAGGTGGCGTCAGTGACGGTATTTTTAAACATTTCACGTTGCATCAGACCGGACAAGGTATTTTACGATTTTTGATCCATATTTCAAAACAAGCAACGGGCGATTGACTAATGTGTCTCCACTCTATTGAAACAAATCAACTTTTCGTCAGCGGTGCTCTCGCATATAAGTTCAAACAAGCTCATCTGAATTCAACTTGATTCATAATATTTTTGGAGCCACTTCACTGCATGCTCGAAACTGCATGTGAAAATAAGAATAAAATTCAAATAATTCATGAACGGCTTTTTTTGTGTATTTCGTTTGTTGTGAAAAATTGAAAGAGAATATCAATTACAAAAATGTTGATTTGGTGCATGTCGTGAGCATGCGCTCATATGAAATACAATCGATGTCTTGTAGCACGTTCGATCGAACTGCATGCATAAAATCTTGATCATTTTTTTATCGGCGGCACGTTTACTGTTTTCTCCAATGATAAAATAACGACGAAAAAAATGCCGAAAAAAGTAAAAAAAAAAAATATTAAACCATATCAATATTTCACCTGAATCGAAGAGAGAGAGAAAGAGAGAGAGAGAGAGAGAGAGAGAGAGAGAGAGAGAGAGAAAGAGCATTGTATGCGTGCGTTTGTTTGTTTTGTATCTGCAGAGACATGTTTTTACTCTCGTTCACTGCTCAATGCTTAATCAGTGTTTTGATCGAAAAACGTCTTATTAATAACAAGGCGCATGCGGGTCAAGTTAAACCATACGCGCTCACAATCGGATTAAATATTCTGTTTGTTCCGTCCGCTTTCTATAAATCAATGTGTGATGAACATGCGTGCGCTCATCGACAGAGTTATATGGTTTAATCTGACAGGCGAAAACCATCGAAAATACAGCTCAAAACATACAACAGCAAAATTAAAACGGAAAATTCTCCAGAAATCAAATAAACAGAAGAAAAAAACATTGCAAGAAAGAGAAAGAGGAGAACGAGGAAAACATCTTTCGTAAAGAAACTGTTAACTCTTTGACTTGTACAATGCACTGAATTTGAATGTCACAAAGCAGAGACAAAGCGCAGAAGCATTTTATGCATCAGGTAGTAGAATCACATTTTTTTTTAAAGGAAGTCCAATAAAATGAGTGAATTATACAATTAAATCTATATGTTCGAAGATATATATGTTTGGTGTTTAAATAAAAACAAAAAAACGGTAACCGATGAACCATTTAAACGGCTGAGAGATCGCTGCATAAAAAATCTAATATTGTCGATGCATTCGAAGGGATTAACGTATGTTTCGGATGTTGTAAACGAGCGTGTTAATTTGGATTTTATTTGATTCCTCAATGTGGTCAAACTGTCATGTTCATTTGCATTTTAGTTTCGTTAACGAGCTTCAATACACACAAAAAAACGAAAAAAAGTTTTTGATTCAAAAGATTAGTGTTTTCATTTGTATTAGGAAAAGATTGAAGCATCTCCATCAAATGCCGTGTGAATGGCGAATCACACGGATTACCCGTGCTCATGAGTTTCAATGGCAGGTCTGATTGTATCATATTTCGATCTCACAATGACAAGAAGAAAATTTGTGGATTCACTATAGTATGTTGGGACCGTGTTTCAGTATTTATTTTTTAATTACCCGTTTGAAAGTAGTTTCGAATTCCATAAATCACATCCGATTTGAGTCAATGAGAGTTAATTAAAATCAAACTAACCCATCAAAATCTCAATCTCCAAATGGAAGATTCATTTTTAAATTATTGGACTTTCGATGTGTGGTTTAAAATGGATAGGTGTTACGAAATTTACGAGGCAAAAAATGACAATTTTTTCTATATCATAATGACGATCAAATCGGTTTTTATTGAAATATTTGACGTGGTTAATTTTTCTATTCTCTTTTTTTGATCAATTTACTATTTGATATTTTGCCGCTGATCAGTGCAAGCGATTCATCACACGGCTGGAGGTAATCTTGGTTTACCTTTGAAGTGACACACTGAATTGTACAAATATTACGATTAAATCGAACAATTTATTGATATCCAAACGAAGTGATTAAAAATAATTTGTTTGTTTTCATTTGATCTCTAGCGTCTATCCAACTGTGCCATTTTGTCCGATCGGAAGCTTCTAAGACTTGGAGATGGTGCATTCATATTTTTTGTCAATTTTATATGACATTCTAGCTATACAGCATAATATCGATAGATGATATAGAAAATCCCGTTGATTGGCTTCTATTTATCAAAGTCAATGCCATTTTTTGTTGTTTATCGGCCGTACTTTTTATTGTTACAATGTATTATTGTTTAAGTCGACGTAAATTCTTTTTTTTTCGATCCGAACGGTGTATATGGACGATTGCAAATGATTCATTTTCACATAAAAATATCATATTGTCATCATCGCAGCGAGTTTTCTTTCCATCGAACAACTCTCGAATGTAATTTAATAATGTTGTTGTGGTCATTGTTCGCATATATATAAATATTCCATCTAAATTGGCTCTCTTTGTCCGATCCTTACATTGATTCTGTCTTTCTGCTTGTATTCACTTTTTTTGTTGTTTTTGGCCACAAAAAGTCACAATTTCACCATTCAAATAGTCTTAAAATTTCTCACGGTCTGTATCGACATCAACTCTTTTCTTCTTGTTAAATATGTCCCTATTACTTCTATGTTCTTCGAACGGTCAATTACAATCATACAGAACAGCAACGCAGACGAGAAAGAGAAAGAAAAAAGTCCACAAAACGAACAACATCGAATGGAAAACACAACGATAATGCTCGTCTGTGCTCTGAATTTTGATAAGGCACCGTCAACGCAATTGCTACAGCACTCAGCTTCATCTTGTGCTTGTCATCGTCATCTCAGTAGCGGTATTACATTCATCACATTCAACGGACGAATGTCATTTCAAAAGCAATATGCGCTGCAGCGAACGTTCATTTCGATTTTATTTATTAAATGCCTTCAATACACACACAATACACATGGACTTTGATTCAAGACTTTTCGGTTTATTCACGTATATTATATAGTTTTGCAAATAACATGAGAGACAACTGTCGTTAAATCAACCAATTGTTTTTCTTTTCTTTTTTTTTAACAAACAAGAGGGAAACAACATAGAATTCTAATTTAAGAACAAAAAAGGCGATTTTTTTCTGCTTATTATGGTATGCGTTCGTTCTACGAAGCATTGGAATGGGATTCAAATTCCTTTTCAGCAATTCCCTTTGCAAGTCTTCGAATAATCTTTCCCGATTGGGTTGCTGGCAATTCAGACACGAAAAAGACACCACCACGCAATTTATAACTATCGGCAAAATTACCTGCAAAATGGAAAAGGAATATATTACTTTCTTTTCTGGGGATTTTCTTGAATATAAAATAGAATATATTTTAAAAAAGTACCAGCTATCAAAGTGCAAACTTCCTCCTCTGAAATGGATGCATTTGCATTTCGAACAATCAGAGCCGTAACCAAGTTATTCACACCGACTACACAGGCAGACTTGATGGCCGAATGTTGATGCAGAACAGTTTCGATTTCTTCTGGTGCAATTTGAACATTTTCATATTGAATCATATCGCTTTCACGACCAAGTACGTGCAAATATCCATCCACATCAAAATAGCCCACGTCACCCGTTTTCAAGAAATTCTCTTTATCAACGATTGCATCGATGCCACTTTTTCCATAATAACCGTTGAAATAATAGTCACTTTTCACAAAAATTCGGCCTCTTTCGCCAACCAACAATCGATTTCCATTTCCATCGACAATTTTTACTTTGATACCATTCATTAACTTTCCATATGCATTTAAAGTCAATTGAAAACCACGCGAAACTGAAATAGCCCCGCCTAGTTCACTCAATCCTAAATTCATTTAAATGATAATAAACATATGAAAATAAAGAAACATTTTTTTAGAATAAACCAAAACATTTTTCTACCAAACATGTTATAAGGCACAGCATTTTTGAAGAATTTCCGAATAGTTGCATAATCAACGTGCGGAACTCTTCGACTGCTTAAAGCCACGGATTTTACACTCGATAAATCAATCGATTCAATATTTTCGTGTTTTAACGCCGAATTGATTTGTTGCAACGATGCAAAAATGTGCGTTATTTTATACTTTTCGATAATTTCCAGTAGGTATTCCGGTGAATAGGATTTGGTGGTTATTATTCGGGTGGCTCCATAATAAGTTGCTTTAAGTAAATTAGCAATGCCAGACAACCAATAAATTGATGAAAATGCAAGTAGAACATCGCCACCACCAATCGAACTCAAACGAGTACTTTTGTCCAGTATCAACGTGTGAGATAAACATATGCCTGAACACATGAGTAAACGATTTTTGAAGAAGGAAAGATTTTGATGTAATGTTAATTTCATTTGTTACCTTCCAATGTCCCACAGATTCCGTACGAGGCAGCGATGACGGCCGTCTCCTTTTCACCATTCAACTCAATTGGACTATCGATTTAACAAAAAATGATCGAATAATGATTCTTTAAGAAACGCGATATTTGAATTGTTTCTTTTTGTAAAATACTCACAGAAAGTCCGATTCAGTATTTGTTTCGGCAAATAATGTTTCGATTGGCATTGATTTTCTTCGTTGTCCAGTAAATGTAAATATAGTTGCAGCGATATTCAATTCGTTTAATACTGCTTCAAGCAAATCGTACAAGTTGACATCGCAAAAGAATACTTTCGGCTTTGTTATGCTTATAATTGATTTGAGTTCAGATTTTCCAAATGTTGGATCAAGTGCACTCACTGGACAGCCTAAACACATTGACGCAAATAGAATCGGTGACAAGTCAGGACTGTTGCTTGCAAAAAAACCACAAACACTCTTTGAAGGTATATTCATTTTAAGTAGATTCTGAGCAGCTCGAATCGTTTTGATCAAGATCTCATTGAATGTGGTTTGGACTCCAAAATCATCGCTGATCTGTAATTGATGTTAAAATATATTTTTTAAATCAACAAAAGGGTCATATTAAAGCGTTTTCAAGGATATTTTTAAATTAAATAGGAGACGGGACAATTCACCGAAAGCAAAATTCCCGAATTTTAAAATGAGTTTGATTCCTGAATCGGATGCTACGGTTACACTACTATTACGCTACAGTTACGGTAGCGTAACGCGGTAGTTATTTATAAGTACGAATTATCCAAATTAGTACTTCGGGATTTCAATTTCGGGAAAGTGTGTCATTCATTCGGGAACTTTGGCATTTCGGGAAAAATGCCAGCATTCATTTGATATAGTGATATAATTGAATAAAAATTAGTCATCAAATCTCACTTTTCACTTTCTGCTCTCGCTTTCTGTAAATCAAAAGCAGTAGTTGATATTCGTTAAGACATTTCCATTCTCAAATATACAATTAATTGTTCAACTTGAGATTATTTTACGATTTTGTGCATTATCAGCGATATTTATTTGCGCAATTGATTTTGTTGCTTTTGCAAAACCTCTGCATATGTGTACGTAGTACATACACATGCGCTTAAGTGGCACACCGACCAACAAAAATAAAACAATTAAATCGTCTTTATCAAAAGATTTGGACTTCAGAGTCTAGCGTTAACGTTTATTAAACTTGATTGATACAATAAAAATGTGTATTGTGCTACAACTGGCCACTGGGTTGCTGCAAAACACGTATCACTGGCGCATAGTGAAGTAACTCAATAGTACGTGTGTGAAATATGAAGATTTTTTCTCGCACGAACTAGATGGCGCTAATAACTAAGTGTCTTTGCAGCAATGGTGTGCAACTGGCTACAACTGTTCACGGAAGCTAACATTTAAATTTATTCCATAAGTGGGCAATTTGGCTAATCCCCGCGAATTCATCTCGAGCTCTTGCTTTTTATGATATTCGGGGTTAAGTTCGAATTTATATTTCTTCAGTAAAAGTACAATGCCCAGTTTTGTCTGCAGCTTGGCGAATCTCATTCCAATACAATACCTCGGCCCGTCGCCAAAAGAGAGAAATGGTCGTTCAGCAAATGAGACCTTTTCATCGCTGAAACGTTCGGGCCGAAATTCCAATGGATCCTCATAGTATTTTGGATCATACTGAATGCCATCAACCGAAATCATCACCTGTGTACCTTTTTCAATAACAACATTCGTATCTGGTATTCTATAATCATTTACGCATCGCCTCGTGAAGAATCCAAACGGGGTGTGCATTCGTAAAGTTTCTAAAAAGACAATTATACAACGGAAAATCAATTACGAAAAAAACGTTTTTTTTTCTCAAAGTAATCATGAATACCTTCGATGCAATATTCCATGTATTTCATATCAGCAAGTGCATCGTATGTCAATTGGCCGTCGTGTTTTTCGAGAACCTCAACAATTTCTTCGTACGCTTTTTGTTGAATATCTTGTGCTTTGGCCAATTCATACATGCAAAATGACATGGTTGTTGAATTTGATTCATAACCTGTCGGAATTGAAATAATTTTATTGTGGTTGTTGTAAAATAAGTTCAACACTGTTTCCAACCAACCTGCTACAATAAAAACATGGCACTGTGCAGCAATTTCATTGATGCTCATTAATTTTTCACCTGATGTCGTTGCATTTGTGCTCCAATCATCGTTATCATCTTTTACTTTGCCCGTATTTCTCAATTGCATCAACAATTGAAAGAAATCCTTCTGTATAATATTGTTCTGTTCTCGAAATTCTAAATTTTTTTTCACCGTGTCAATCATAAAATCACCTACATCCTTATCGACAAATCGTGATCGCAATAATCTTGCGAGTGACGGCGCAAAAAATGAACCAGTATTACGCAAAGCATTTCGAATGGTTGGCTCAAAAAATTGCTTGCCATATTGTCGAAACTCTGAATCCGGATGGCGAATGCAATCGATGTCAATGCCAAACGAAACGGATGCTATTACATTTGTTGCAAATCGTGCAAATACTTCACGTATCTCCAAAACGTCACCACTTTTTGCGTAATCATCAATCAAACATTCGAGTGAATTACCGCACTTGATTATCGTGTTAAACATTGCTTTTAATCGACCTGTTGTAAATGCTGGCGATAGTTTTGTTCGTGAATTTTTCCATGCGTCGCCGTTTTGAACGAGCATATTGTGTGCCATTGGATCCACATCCTCATTTACATACCATCCACGAGACGGGAAGCTTGAAAAATCTTTTATTAAAATGGCTCGAATCAATTCGGGGTCACGAATCACCAATACAGGCGTTAGCAAACTGTAAACGCCGACAAACGGCTCGGTGGAACTATTGTACACTTCTTTGATTTGATCATCAATCGAGATTTTTTGCAAAAATGCCTTTGCAAACGCACCAAACGGGAACGTAGGTCTTAAATTATTAATAATTTATAAAGTGATTTTAACGAACATGATAATTGGACATTTACTTGATAAATGGGACTCCTTTTCGTTTCCAATAACCATAAGCGTACTGAATGTAAAATCTTGCAACCAAAATGGTTGTTGCAATTAACACTAATAACGTTAATAATGACATTTTTTCGAGTAAATATCGTCGAACTGAGTATCATCGCGAATATTTTGTATATTTATACGACGATGAAATTGATAACATATTTATTTCTATTTATCAGATAAATAGAACAATTGGATAGACAGTTATAAATTCACCGAAGCTGTTGAATTATTATCAGTGAACCACACGAAAACGATAAGATGTAACACTTGCAGAATCAACAATGTAAATAGTACTTTGAATGCACAAGATCTCAAATGTCAACACCGCTCTGTCGCGTCTTTTACATCTATTTTGTATAGATGATCTATCTGATATACGATGACTATTAAATCATATGATTCCATTACACTAAAGATGATGAAATTCCAATTTTTATTATTGATTTGTTGTGGGTTTGCAAAACCTTGCGTATTTACACACTTTTTTTTAACTAGACGTTTAATACTGATACTCGATTTACATTTTATTCACTTATCGTCTTTTTTCACACTTATTTGTACTTGTTATTGTCAAACTTGTGACACACTCAAGTTTTCCATTAATTGTTTGAATGGACACTTGTTTATCTGGACTCGCTCGAATTTTGTGATTTTTTTATTTTTTCCATACATTTTAGGAAATTAATTGGATTTTATCAATTGATACTTGCCTGAGCTACTTTTGGTCCATGCATCGATAGCATTCTGATAATAACTTGTCCAAGCGACACATTTGGATTAAACAATGGCTTTATTTCGGGGCCCTCCCATAATTTTTCTTCGACATTAAATTTTGTACCAACTTCCAACATCTTGTCTTCTAGTTCATAAAAAATGGCTCGCTTGAGAAAAAAAAGTATCACTAACTTGTACGAAAGAAGCAATTTGACTGAAATGATTTGATCGTTCTCGACGACGAAGCTCAAATATGACCTGAAAAAAAAATGATCGTGATGATTCAATAAGTTGTGTAAATTTTTGCCATGAATAACAAGAAATTCACGTACATGTATGATTACATCAGATATTAGAATGTAAAAAGATAAAATGAATCGTAAAAGATCTACAGTGTGAAGTATATAGCAAATAAAACCAAAATCATTCTCGCTGGAGATGTTTATCGGGTGCGAATCATAAAATTGCCCAAATTTATATGAAATATATAGCCTGTGGACTGATAAATGAGATAAAACCAATTTTTATCATTCATTTGAGAAATGCGTCATTGTTGTTGTGACCCTTTTGTCTTACTATTTCAAAAAAAAAAAGAAAAAAAATCATCAGTCTCTTTTCAGTTTCAATTCAATGAATGAACTGGTTATTTTTCTTTAATTAAAAAGCGATCAAATTATTTTTTTTCGGGTCTGACATTTTTATATGCTTGAAAGATTTTTCCCCGAAACCACAAATTTTAATTTTACGACTGTGTTTACAGAAGAATGAAAATGCCACCGAAACAACAACAAAAAACGAACTTGATTGATGTTCTCATTGAGAAGTAAAATTGCCGTTTTCATTCATTTGAATTAATTAAATTCATGAATTTAAAAAAAAATAAGAGAAAAATGTGAAAATTCCATAGCCCTTAGCGTCACCAGTTGACGCTTTTCAATCCGATTCAAAATGTGTGAGATTCTATTGAGATATCCAAATGGAACTGGTTTTATCGGCTGTAAAATGTGCGAAAGATTTAGAATATTGTGTGTTTCGACGAAATTTCAAATTGATGACAGATGAAATGTGTCATTCGGAATTGAATTTGAATAAGACATTTGATCGTGTCGTTGTTGAAAAAAAGTCATAGGTTGTGCAATGTTTGATAAAGATTTGGTGAAAAATATTATGTTTTTTTTTCGACATATATTTAATCAGCAACTTATCAGAATGCATGCGTGTGCAAAGCGAGAGAAAAACCAGTTACATTTGTGTATCTTGCGATTACGGTATGTGTCATCATGTAGTAGCGCGATGTGTTTACATATATTTGAATTGGTGGCATATATTTGTTTTATTTTTTTTTTCATTCTCATTTTACATTGCAGTAAGTTAGCGACATGCAATTAAACTTTAAGTCAAATTTTAATTAAAAATTGCGTACGAAATACGTAAAAATAAACACATTTATTGAAAATGAGCAGAGAGAAAACTCAATTTTACTTGAAAAGATTAAAATGCGTTGCAAAATGGCAATGAGGCGTTATCACTCAATCTGCAAACGCATGGTCTCACTCTTGTGTTTGCGCGCGCGCGCGTCTCAAGTTGATGCTGCACGTGAAAAAGGATTAATTAACATAGCTGGAGCGTATTCAAATCGATTCGATCTCGAGTTGATCGTTAAATTAATGGAATTTATGAAAATAGTTTTAATAAATTCAATCTATTTTGATAGTTAGATTGCGAACACCGGCGATCGTACGGAACAGGAATTGTATGAATTATATAAATGGAATTGGTTGCAACGGCATTTTTTATTATTTATTAAACTGCCACCAATTTGATATGCAGGTCGAAAGCGGCGAGTGCATCGAGTAAACATTTGCACATTTGCAAATATTGGCATTGGCAATGATGCTGAAATGATGATCTGGCGCGCCAGTCGTCACTTTCATATCGTTCCATTATCTATGCTATTAGTCAAATAGAACGTTCCAAAGTAATTGGCGGTAACAAACAATCGGCAGCATTTCATTTATAGTATCTCTAAAAGCCATAGCAAATGAAGAATGGTACACACGTCAATCCATTAAAAGATTAAAGCATTATTTTTATTTTATTGTAGTCAATGGATATTTCACAGTTGTGCAGATGCATGAATTGCAAGGGAAACATATCACGAGGATTAAAAATCTATTTCATTCGTCATGAAATTCGAATCGTTATAAAAAGAAAACATCAAGTGGCTAGTGGTGGATTGACGGCTTAAAAATCAGCCTGCAGCTATAACGAATCTACAGCGCGCTTTATATCGGATTAGTATTGCATTGAAATTTTCATAAAGATAACAATTTAAATAGCTTATAACTGACGACGGACATAACGGTGTGCACCACAAGTCGTAAATGCTCGAACGCAAATATAACCAATTGATATTATTATAAATGAACTTTTATCAAATGTCGTTTTGTCGAGTAATAAGAATCATATCAAACGTGTGTTTTTTACCCACTAAATACGGTTAATCGCTATTGAAATTGTCGGCTTTGGACTTTTGCCTAAGTGATAAGCATTTCATGTCATCGAGCCACAAGCAAAACACACACACACACCAAAGTAATATGTCAACATATTTTTGCCAAAAGATACTGTGAGGCGTGGGCGGCAGAAATGCTTCGCCCCATTCCGTTTCGAAGCGACAAGTTACGGCCATTGATAAGCAAAATCAAATTATGACTTGATTGAACGCAATTTACATCACATGCACTTTTCGCAACCTGATTGTAGTCATTTCTCGCCACACAATAGTGTTCATGTACACGCTTTCATTTTTTTTTCGGCATGCACATGTCGTAAATAATCAAAGTTTGTGAATTTCGAACGTTGCACAGAAAGCAGCGATTTTTCACTGTGTCATGATTTGCATGTTGAGAAAGACAACAACAAAAATGTACATGATAAATTATTTGATTTTTGAAAGGATTCAAACTCACATGAAAAACAGTGGAACGAAACGCACAGAAATGTAAATGAAGCGGCCCGTTTGAAATTCATTTCTTTTTTTCTTTGTAATTCATGTAGAGGAGAATATCTTCTTGAGCCAAATCCCACTGTTTGGTTGACAAGAGTTTTCAGCAAACGATCGCCAAACTACATTCAAATACACATCAACAATGTAATAAATTTTAAACGATCAAAGAAAACGAAGTGCATTTCTAGAAGCTACAAAATGAAAAATGCACAGTTACGTAGTAAGTTTTGATATGCCCTTAGGCCAATTCAATTTTATCGCACTTTAACAGCAATATATATACGATTGAAAGACATATTTCATTTTGAAGAGCATAATATGAATTTCGTGTCGGTTGCGAAGAATTCTTATTTATTATTTTCCAATTTAATGTGAGATTTCTTTGGCGTTTTTTTAGTTTATAACTTCCTCACTTTTTATGAATAAATAATAATGATCACGAGAATTCACGAAATTCTAGTATAGTTACTTTTTGATACTGCGTGAAGTTATCACTCAGCCACCAAATAAGAAATGCATGGTTTAAGGTATACGTTACAGCTGTTTGCAATTGTGCTAAAGTGTTTTCACAACTTTGCCCCAATCTGATGATAATTGTGGAAATTGACTATAGATGAAACTAAATGCTGTCGTAGTGCAGTTGTTTAACATTTTGGATAGTATTTCGGTACGATATTCACCGACGAATTCTTATATTTGTTGGCATATTAATTTATTTTAATTCAAATTTTGAATTTAAAATTTTTAAATACAATAAAACATTTTTCCAACGTTTTGGATTGAAAACAGACCTTAGTGTTTCCGAATTGTATTGTTCGAAGCTGAATTGATTAATTAAGGTTTGTTTGACTTTTTTTATGATATCCACATTGGGGGGAGAGACTTTGAAATTTACGAATAAAATAAAGCGAATTTCAACAAACAATACGTAGACAGCCTTAAAGCCTCCACAAACTTGAATATGAATTGTAAAACGGTAAAATATATCATCATTAGATTTCTTTTGTCTAATTTCAATAATTTGTTTGAGTTGCGACTCGTCCTCGTTGTTTTTCTAATTTCAACGATGTTTCAAAAACTTTACACGTGCAATCCAACTGTATCAATACAAATATTTCAAATGATCGCAAATGATAAAAACAAGTTTTTACAGAAAGATATTTTTCGATGAAGAGTATAAAAGTTCGTTCGATTTTGCCTGGTGAACAGTTCGATCTTGCCTGGTGAATTACGAGTAAATTACTGAAGCACAATGAATTTTTTCAAGTTCGCATTTTTCTTTGTTGTTTTGTTCATGGTGAGTTGAAATCTGTCTGAAACTTTTAAGAAAATCGCTTATTTCTAGAATAAAAAACCCAAATTCATTTTTTTTGTTACAGATACTGAACTTTGAATTGGCAGATGCGGGAAATAGCGGAAGCAAAGTCAAAAAGGGCGATGTAAGCAAAAAAGGCAAGAATGTTGTTGGTGAGAAATTGGGTAAACTTGCCAAAGGCGCAAAGGAGGCACTTATATCTTGTGTCACGGAAGAAGTCTCTGATGACGAAGAATATCCTGCCAAACGTAACCCAAAAAGTATACTACCACCACTGCCATATCCGGCTGAAGAAATTTTGAAAAAAGGGAAGGAACAACGAAGCAGAGCTAAGTTTATTGCAGAACTTAATTCGAGATAAAAGCTAATAGAGACGTCTAAAATGTGAAATAAATGATAATAATTTATGTCTTTATGTTCATAATAAAAAATTATATATTTCACTTTCATAATTCATAAAAAAATCTTCGGCCTCGTCCTCAATGTATTTAGAATTTCTTAATTCACGAATAAACATTTGTTTCGAAATAAACATATCCACGTAATAGATGTAATTATTATTAATTTGTGAATTTTTTTTATTGCGAACAAGTTATTATGATGGAAAAGGTTAGAAAATAAAAAATATTTTTCGATTAATTACGAATGAAAGAGTATAGAATGTTCCTTAGATTTTGCATGTTAAAGAATTAACGTGAAACACGGTTCTTGTCTCTGAATTTATGGAAATAAATTGAATTATATATTCCAATATGATTGTTTCAATACTTTCAAATGAATTTTTTCAAACACTTTTTCAACTATACTGATTTAATATAAATACCTCAACTGAACCGAATGTGTCAACATGTGAAAATAGAAGTTTTCTTATAATAAAAAAAAATGTTATTCAAATTATGTGTTCTGCAAAACGTCTCAAATGATACTAAATTTAAGTTGAATAACAGTTTGTGACCAAGTTGAGAATTACAATGACGAATTCACTGATAAAAGCATTAATTTTGTTGAAATTGCATATCAAAATTGATATGGTGCAATGATGAATAAGCAAATCCATTTATTTATACTTTTGATATAAAAATAAAACTTATTTACTTTTTTAAAATTAAAATGATATATTTTGGTCGATGATTATGACTCGAGTCATTGCTCACATAATATTTTTCTCTTCTAGTTGGCATTGGGCTCCTTTTGACTCACCATGCTCCGTGCCCGTTTCAGAGAACAGTAGAAAATAGAAAATACAGTTTTGCGTACAAATTGCATAAATTTGAATAATTTATGGTTTTCGTAGTAAAATTTCTTAGTACATCGACTTCCATCCGGTTGCTAAATTCATTGGGTGGAAGTAGATGAGACGAAAACGATTTTCATGACATATGATTTGAAATGAATCCTCGTCGAGTTGAAATTGTTTATTAATAACGGTTATTATCAAAGTCAGATTCACGGGTCGCTTGAAGATGATTTGCATTTCCGTACGTGTATTTTGTGTTTGAATTAATTTTTAGTGCTTCTTGAACTGGGCTGAATCGAATTCCATTTGGTAGCAAAATTTATAGAGGTTTTGTGACGCCGTGTGTTGCCCATTTATAGAAATCCGTGTTCGGTAAAAATGTGCATCCGATCATTGCAAAAAGTCAAACAAAAGAGCCAACGATGTTATATCATTTGTTAACATAATTTAAGATCTCAACGCCTTCGATGCAATCACACAGCACACTCAAATCACGTTCCAATTCGATCCAATGTCTTGCTGTTCAATAATAATGGGTAACATAGCACTGTTTTATGTCCACAGCCGGTGAACAAATACAATATCTGAATGCGAATGATGACCGATGTATTCAAACACACACATACACACACTTACGTGCGCTCGCCTCCCTTCTTCTCCTGGACGAACATATCCAAATCACATTGCAAACGACTACACAAATCAATTGTAGCCATACATTTTGTATGTTTACTCGTTTGCGAAAGATTCAACTTTTATCACACAATCCAAATGGAGTGTGGGTTAACAAATCGTAAATATTATCATGTCGAGTTTTGCGGGCACGCGTGAACAGATATGTTTTGTGCATTCGCACCATAAAACAATGTGTATTCTTTCAACAATTTATTTTTAAGCGTTTTTTTTGTTTCTCTGTATGCTTCCCATTTGGCAGTTATGTTCGTTTTTCGTGTCACTAATCTTGTTATCTGCCGTGTTTTTTTTGCTGAAATGTGGCAGAGCGCGCGCACACACGTACACAATGTGGCAAGACAACTGGTGTGCGCACCGAACATGCAAATCAAATCTCGTCAAACAAAAGCACAAACACAAAACAATGTTGAAAGCCAAACGAAGAGTTAACTAGTCATACGGCATGAAAAAGAAAGAGTGTGAGAGTAGGATACGGTTTTGGCATCGACACAACGGAGGCGTACCATCATCATCAATCGATCGTTCATTTGGACCAATTTCATATCATTTTTATGAAGTCTAAGTAGCAATTTCTAAAGCCAGATAATTCTGAGAAATTTTTCACCCGCTTACATATATTAGACTGAACGCACATTTTTAGCATCATCAACAGACATAGGAGTTATGTGTGCAGGAGATAAAAAGATGAAAGCAGCAAAAAATGCGAACAACATTGCAACGATGCTATTTTAGAACTCTACTTATTCCAAGCCATTTATTTATTTCTTTTTTTTCACTGTTTTGACCGTTTGGAAAATGGAATGAAAAAAAAAACGTGCAAATGAAACGAATGAATATGTGTACGCATTGAGTTGAATGTGCGCCACATAAGGGGAGCCCACGCAATACACATTTCATTTATAATTTGTAGCCAATTTCCATTGATGGTACACAACGAATGATCTTTATGCAAAGTGAAATGGAATAGGAACAAAACAAAACACGGTCTCATTCGATATCTAGTTGACTAGCCAGCCCGTTCCGTCTGCACAACACAGTGCACGGCACATGTTCAACGCGATGTCCGAAACGCGTTTCGTTGCACATGCAAAACAAATCATTTCACGTTTACTCTAATCGAAACCGTCGTATTTTGTTTGCGCGTGCATTACTCATTTCGTTTGCTCGACTATTGGCCCCCCTCATCTCATTCTAGTTCAACCATTCAAACGAATGCCAGAAAAAGCAAATCATTTAACAAATATTGCATGGTGTTGAATATGTTCAGTGAGCGTTATCGTTTGTTGCTATTTTCGTAGTGAGTGGCAGGCAAGCGCGTATTTGATGATCCTTATTTCGCACGGTAGACGCTCCACGTACGTCGGTTGACTGCAACGAAATAATTTATGTTTTTACACCGTGCACCACAAAAACCATTGGGGAGATCATCGAAAACATGATATGTATGTGTGCGCGCGCAGTTTTAAAAGTTAAAGAAGAAATCGCGTTGCACACGAAACGATGAGTAATGCTTTAGATTGGCTACCAAACGTGTTTATTAATTAGCAACATGATATAATTTTAGGTTTTTTTTTGTCTATCTTCTCTCGAACACACCATGCCATAGATGAAATATACATCGAGACAAAATTTACTCCACACAGAGAACGGCGGCAAAGTTGCACGTTCGATACGCCAACGACACAAACTTAACAAAAAATAAAGAACCGAAAAAAATGTACATGTTCAATGCGATTTATTTCCTCTTCGCATGGCATTTTGTTAGCTGTCAAAATAATTTGATCGAAACAACTATTCGAATTTAATATGTTCAACGATTTGCTGTTTTAAAATGGCTTGTTTTGTGTTTCGAATATAAAAAAAACAACAATCAAAGGAAAACGATTGAAATAATAAATTGAACCCATTTCAACGAACTATAATGATACCTACCTAGAGAAAGATAGTAAGAGAGAAGGAGAGAGCAAGAGAGGGAGAGAGAAAGATTGACATACTAACAAGCAAAAACACAGAATGAGAATATATGTAAAGAGAAAAAAAGCGTATATGGTCCAGATTTTACAAAAAACAATTTGTTCCACAAACAGGAAAAAGACAATTCCAACTCAAACTCTTGTCTATTGTTAGCCGTATGCATATACGTAAGACAACCATTCCCATTGACAATTTGCATACAATTCTCAATGTTAAAATATGCTTGCGATTTAAAGAAGAAAAAAAAGTTCATGGGTGCGGCGCACAGAACTTGCCTCTTTTTTCATTATTTTTATTGCATCATTTTCGTGTAGATATTTTCAGATTATTGTCATTTTCGACCGTTCATTGGACGTATTAATTTATGTTATTTGATTTTATTCAGAAATGGAAACAAAAGAGCGGGTGAGAAACAAATCTAACTGAACGGAAATAGCTTCAAGACGTTTGGCATGAACAAAACATGGACATGGACATGTCACCAACCATTTAATAAAATGCCGTATTTAATTGAGAGTACAATTTAAACTAAAGAGGCTTCTTTTTTTCTCGTCAATTGTGAAAATTCCAGCGTCTTCTCTTAAACTCAAAGCATAATTGATGGTTTTTGTCTACATAAATCCGAATATATACAACACCATGGCTCTACAATAGCTCGCCCGGTCTTCGCTCATAATTTCAAGCAAAATTTCGTAACAATACATATTCTTTCAAGTTTTATACACTTTTTATGATGTTTTGTACAAATTCAATACCTTTGAAATTGATTGAGCTGATATGAGTGTATGTAGACTATTGTGTACAGATTTAGTGTAGAGTGTAGTAAATGTTTTTCTTCATACATCTGGATAAGTAGGAATTTTTGATTTGGATTTAAAGCGACACTTGAGAGCAACACCGAATAAGAAACGGTTTCTGTGCAAAAATACATGCGGAAAGTTTGTGCACTGCAAACCAAAAGTCCACATCCGATAAAATTAACATGAAACAAATTGATTGCTCACTGATTCGAATTGATTTGTTTGTGTTTCTTGCCATGAAAATTATCTGTAATTGCCATTTCAATGGTTGTTTTAACTTCAACCTCCCAAGTGTTTCTGCATTACGATTATGCGAACGCACTTGTGCAGTGGAATTCCGGCACCGTCGCACGCTCGGCCAATGATAAAACCATTTGGTCGGCGCCACTTTTTCTTCGTTCCAAAATGAAAGAAATAATTTAAATAAAATAAATGGATCCAAGTAATCTATATCAACGAGTGAAATTTATTTTAATTAAATTAATAGACATTTTCCGTAATCAGTAAGCGAATAAAGTTATTATGACCACCTCAAAGGCCGTCAAAGGCGGTCGTTTGTTTTCATCGTGGTTTTTTGCGTACAGAATGAATGCGCGAGCGACTGTTTATCTGAATACGGCGTAAAGTTCCGATTTAAATCGTTATCTAGGAATTGGCTCAATGTGTACATTGTGAAATTATAATGAAAAAAAAAAACACCAAGGAAAAAGAAAAACGCTTTGCAATAAAATACCACCAGAGTATTCTGACAGCATACCAAACACAATCATTGGGCAATTGGCGTACCTTTTTTCGCTTCGAATGTTTCATGGTTTGCATGGAAGTGTCTTTCTATCAGCTTAT